TGTATATTAATTCTTCATATTATTTGTAAAATATCATGTATTTAGTTCTATCGTTTACTCATATTTTAACTTCATTTTTAATTTCAAAATAAATGTGCATTATAATCCAATTTTAGTATTAAATAGTTCATAAAGTAATTTCTGTAGATATACATATGTCCCAAATACAGTCTAATAAATAATATATAATACTATCCAAAAAATTGCAATAATAAAATTACAAAAGATTTTCTACATCAAACCTCAGTATTTTAAACTGTACGTCATTTAATTAAACGTTTCGACTCTTTCAAATTACAGAATTGGCAGATGGAGGAAGTATAGACGGTGACCAGCCAAACAAAAGGCCGAGAACAACGATCACGGCAAAACAGCTGGAAACTTTGAAATTAGCTTATAATACCAGTCCTAAACCAGCGAGGCACGTGCGAGAGCAACTCTCTCAAGATACAGGACTCGACATGCGCGTTGTTCAAGTCTGGTTCCAAAACAGGTATGTTTGATTTCTAAGAAAAATGTGGGCTGCCACTATTTATCATTCATGTGTATGCTTCAGTGAAGTATAGACCTCCTTTCGATGAGAGCAGGTGCATAAACTTGCGAACTTTTAAATACTCAAATTTTTTAATATTACAATTTCGAGACTCAAATTTTTATTTTCAAATCGTTAAACTTAATTTTACAAACTTCCAAATTTTCAGATATTCAGATTTAGAAATATTTTAAGTTTTAAATTTGTAGATTTTCAGTAGTTTCAAAATTTAAGACAAATATTCTATTGTTTAACTTATAACAAAGTCCGTGTGTGTACATATACACTCGGGTGGAAAGTAGATCTCTTTTGACTAAAGTGGACTTTTGATTAAGAGAGTGACTATCGGTGTTGTTATCAACCAGTGTCGATAATGTGGTCGAAATGTCATAAGGATATATTTCCCTTCAGTACGACTGATTTTAGATAATTCATGAGATAAAAAATTATTGGATTATCTGGAAATTCGAAATTTTAAAAATTGAAGAAATTACGGATTTTGTGAAAATATGAAGATAGAAATGTGAAAATTAAATAATATGGAAATCAAGAAATTCGGGTTATTTGAAATTTGTATGGTTGAGAATGACATTAGTTAAAACATACGGTTAGTTTCAAAATATAATAATACCTTCGCAACTTTTAAAAATTCTATAATGGCGATAAGCAATTTTACGTCAAGAGAAACTTTTATATTATACAACTTTGTGTTATTATAAAGATTTCTATATTCTATAGTTACCCAATATCAAAATCTAATTGCATACTGTGGGTGATAATAGCAACATACTACAAAAAACTTCTGATATCGCAAGAATGATCATAGTAATTTATTATCACTAAAACTACTAAATTAGTCATTTGATCCATTCGCAAGTTTTCTTTTTTATATTACATAAATATAATTAATAAAGAAGTAATATTAATATTCTTTATTTTTCTATTTCATTTTATTTTTAATTTCAAATTACGTGTGCATTACACAATAATAAATTTAGTTTGAAAATTTCACATTGATCCTTTACTTGATACAGATAACTCACTTACTAAAACTCCAGTTGAATACCAAAATATTGTGTAAAATCGTTTAGTGTATTTAGAGTCAGAAAGTAATTTCAATCGTTGTTTACATACAATATGGTACACATATGAAAGCTTTTGAAACTTACTAAACTGCCATGAATTATCACTTGACACTTCAACTTTAATACCAAATATGATTATACGAGTCTCTATTCTTATTGGCCGAATGCTTTCGTTGCCACGTGGGATACCATAGAAAAACAGTTCTATCATGGTTTCGGAAGCCGTTTATAATTCGATACCATGAATTTCTCTATTCTTTTAAATGAAAAGCTCAAACCTCATTTGAATGAGTTTCTATATCCTCGAAAATACAATATTTTGTAATCTTTTATTACTTGACTTTCTTAATTTTCTTAAGTTTCTCGAGTACGTTCACTTATAGGTTCTACCAAGTAATAATAATAAAAATATGATAATAAATAAATATTTTCTATTTGAAATGTTTATATTTAGAGAAATACATAATATTGTAAATAAGAAATTGTGAATATAAAAACCAAGAAATATTTTCGGTAATTTCATTAATTATAGAATGTTATCAAATTTATTGCAAGTTTTAACAGCCCATGTCTCAAGATTATATTTTACCATCTTACTCAACTATATTCCAGTATCCGTTTGTTTCGTACGCGCATATGTTTAACCAGTTCAGTGTGTTTGACGACTACATATATTCGCCATGGAGATGTGGCAGAATTTTGTGTCATGACGACTATATCCGCCATGCGAAAAAATTTTGTTACAATATGATATTTAAATTGTAATTTTGGCGAAAACTAAATTATATTCATAAATTGTAATATGTTTAAAATGTTTAGAGGTCAATACGAAACGAAATAAACAAAGGAAAAGTGTAAATGATTTGAAATGGATTCATAAATTCTGGAGAGCTAACTCGTCATCGCTTCATTATCGTGACATACACTAGTGCGCGCTTTGCAAAAAGATCGCCACAGTTAACTGGATAATTATGAATATAGTATATTTATAACATTATTCAATGAAAGGTGCAATTGAATCATTCATTTTTTCAAGTACATGTAGCAACTTATACGTGACACACGCTATATATTATTTATCTATAAATTCAATTTTTTATAACTCATGTTCCCGTTATCTACTTCGACAACGTGGTTTCTGACATTGCGTACAATGTAGCAAATAAAATCGAAAAAATGATTTTATCAGTTTTATAAGTGCGCGTACGTACTTGCAAGTACATGTTTAATGTTAATCCAGTAATTTTTTATATGAAATGTCGTGAGAATGTCGATGCACTGCAAAGTTATCACAATGACTTGTTTCAATGACTAGAGATAAAGCAAAATCTAAAAGTTATAAAAACGCACACGTGCGATAGTTACTTTAAAACCGTTTTCTTGAAACTCTTCAACGATGTTAAAGTAACCTACAGTCCTTATTGCAACTGTGGAAAAATTGTACCATTGTAGATAAAATTAATGCTTTGTTACAATTTTCAACAACGATAATCTATGTTCTTCAACGTCAAACGAAGGTTGAATCATTACTGCACTGATGATATTCCTTTTATTGTACAAAAAGAAATTTGTATTGAAAAATTTCTAGATACTCTTTAAGAAATTTAAAAATGTGAAATATAGTCCTGTTATATGAAAAGGTGGATCTTCCAATTTGAAAATTTGAAAACTAGAATGTTTATGATTCTGTAACTATCCAAATTTCATTATTTTTAAATTCCTACATTTCTATATTTTGCAATTTTTAAATTTTACCGTTTTCTTTATTTCTAAATATAAGAGATTGTAAAATTCTACAATACTAAATTTCTCTGTTTGGAAACCTGTAAGTTTATAAATTTGAAAATTTGAATAATCCTTAAGTATTCAATTAAAAAATTTGAAAATCAGAAATATAGGATGTTCGGAAATTTAAAAATTTGTATACTGCTATTATAAAGCTTTATGCACATAAATTTCATAATTTATAAGTTCCTAAATTTCCAAATATCTAAATTTAAGAATATGGAAATTTCTATAATTTTTTAATTTCGAAGTTTGGAAATCACGAAATTTGTAAATTTAAAAATTTGTTTTCACCCGAAGATTTACGATCTGATTCATGAATCAGAAGAGAACATATCGAGCTTTGATTTTAGTGTGAAGAAGTACTCAGCCGGCAATACAAAGCGTGGCAGTGCAACAAAGCTCTATTATAACTGTTTTCACTTCTTCGATACATGTATATTTTAAAATTTAATAGATTATTATGTGCCGTGTTGTTTTTAGGAGAGCAAAGGAAAAGAGACTGAAAAAAGATGCCGGTAGAACGAGATGGTCACAGTATTTCCGAAGTATGAAAGGAACGGGAGCTGGTGGACATTCACCAAGGCATGATAAACTCCTTGATAAGGATGAACTCAAGGTCGACTTAGACTCCACCTTTGGTCATCATGGTATGTACCATTTACACGTACTCCTTTATTATATTCTAATTACAAATCAATTAATTTGTCTCATTAAAAATGTTAATATTATCAAAATTAACCCTTATCCGGTCAAGGTAAGTCCTCCATCATTTAATTATGAATATAACCGAAAAGATAATTTTCCAAAAACTACCGAATATTTTTGGAAATTTATCCTAAAATTAAATTATACGTACCCCCTATCAAAATCACGTGTTAATGCTCATGTATTGCAATAGATTCTAATCTGTGTATGTTGCGTAAATAGCCCATCCGGATAAGGGTTAAAAATGTCATACCTCAATAAAGTATTGTTATGAATAATATAAATTTATACATACAATGAAAAAAACTAAATCATGAGGATTAAAGTACAGTGATCGCGTAGATACATTCAAAGATATAGTAATTAGAATAATACAAGAAGAAATAACTATTGTATAATTAGTTGGATGTTTTCTACGGGAAGAAAGACAGTAGGGGTAAAAGATCGAAAAACTCTTTATACAGGGTACCCCAATTTTTTCTGGCCAAACTTTGCCAGCTACACGCAAAAGTAAAAAAAAATTTTGTATGGACATATATTCTTAAATGTTTTATTAAGGAGTTATACCTAATAATACAAAATCGGCATTTCGTCGACACAGCGAACATATTATGAATATCTCTATTTGTGTTTATATAAACTCTTATGTCTATTTGCTCTAGTAGTTGGTATCCACATTTTTTATTAACGTTTTATTAACGAGTTAACATTTCAAAATGACGTTCGTTATTACGAATACGTACGCTGTGTCGATGAAATGCTAGTTCATTATAATTTTGTATTATTAATTATAACTCCTTAATAAAACATTGCAGAGTATATGTTCATATAACATTTTTTCTTCCTTTTGCGTGTAGAACACACAGGCAAAGTTTGGCTGGAAAAACTAGGAAACCCTGTATTTTCTTTAATAATTTTTTACGTTCTTATCAAAATATTATCGTATTATATTATATTAATCTTATCGTAATATATTAATCTTATATTACTATTATATATTAATCTTATCGTGCTATATTAATCTTATCATAAAGCTAAATTCCATTATTTGGCGATTTTTGCATCCTTATTTCAAAATACAAATCTAAGCAAAATACATGAGACAAAGTTTTAAATGATTTTCTTATACCTGGTTATCCACACAAGAGTTAATTGTCCTCAGAAGTTAAATATGTTAAGAAGAATATTGTCATTAATATCTGCTATCGTGATTCTCTTTTAGTTTGCGTTATAACAAAATTATAACTCTACGTATTTTATAATTCGAGTGATTCCATCTTGATTAATTCAATTTATTTATTGTTTTATTTAAAATTCCAATTTTCAAAACCAGTATTTGTATCGTCTGTGCCAAACAATGTTCTTAATCATTCTGCAGTCAAAAAATTGTGCCGCGTTATTAAAAATGGGCATTGAAAGGCGACCGATAACGCGTTATTTGTGTTTCCAATATCGCGAAATGTACGCAGGTTCCCCTTTGTATGCACAAGCATCCCTTCCGTTTCATGAAACGAAAAAATGTTGAAATCAGTGCCTGAAATCGATGAATACATTCGTGTTGCAAAAGATTTTATTGCAACAGAATAGGATATTTTATTGGAAAACAGAAAGTTCCTACAGGAATACAAAATAAGTGCATAAAAAAAATAAAGTTATTAACCTTCGAAAATATTATTCATTGCAACTATATATTTTCAATCCTTAGTTTAACAAATAAATTTGAAAAAAAGAAAGCATGAATTTTAAACACGTAGTTAATCACTGATATTGTAGCTTTCGAGACAATTAATTGGTGTAAAATTAATTGTGATTTTAGTCAGTAATTCTGAAAAGTAATTTATCTTACGAAAGAGGTTTTCCAAATGTTAATAACCGATTTTAATGAAACTTACGTACTATGTAGTTTTCGAAAAAATGTTCAACTCATATTTTTTTTATTATTTATCATCCATATTTAGGGGATAAAAATGGCCATTGAAATTAGAGGAAGAAAACTTATTTTTCTCAATATCTTAAAAACTTTTTGTAATACAAAACATATGCCTATTAGTTTAAAGATTGCAATAAAATTTAAATTTTGGCATGGTTTTTATGGATAAAATAAAAACTGTTTATGGAAACTTCTGTTAATAGAAACACGTATACCAAGAATTTACTCCATTAAATTCATACTGGCCTGACAATGAGTCATAAACCTATTGATTGGGCAACGTTCAGTAAATATTATATTTATTAAAAAAATTAGATTTTAAACGGGCTAGCATATTTCTGCAGGAGTGTATAGAATATTCCACATATGAGACCCGATTAAGTGAATAATTTCGCATGTGGAAATTGGAGAACTATTTTAATTTAAAAATTCCCAAATTTAAACAACAATTATAAATTTACAAATATAGGTCTAATATATTTCTTAAAATCCAAATTTCAAAATTTCAAATATTCACCTTATCAAATCATTAAATTATCCAATTATCCAATTATCAAATTATCAAATTATCAAAATGTCAAATTAGTAAATTGTCAAATTCACAAATTCCCAAATGTACCAATTCCAATATTCACCAATTTATAAATCTACAAATTCATAAATTCCTGAGTTCCCAAGTTTCTAAATTCTTGAATTCTCAAAGTCAAAGTCGCGATATGTCCAAGTTCTCAAAGACTCACATTTCTATATGTTTGAATTCCACAATTCCACAAATTCTCATTTTCCAAATTTCTACGTTCCTAAATTCCTAATTTCTCTAATTCCAAAATCCCCAAATTCCCTAATTCCCTAATTCCCTAATTCCCTAATTCCCTAATTCCCTAATACTCTAGTTCCCTAATTCTCTAATTCCTTAATTCCCCAATTCCCTAATTCCCCAGTTCTTTAATACCTAAATTCTTAAATCCCCAAATTTTTAAATAACCGAATTCTGGAATTTTTAAATTTCCAAATCCCCAAATTCCCAAATATTGAAATTCCCGAATCCCTAAATTCCCCAAATTTCTAAATGTTCAAATCCCCAAATTCCTCAAATTCCTAAATTCCCAAATTTCTAAATTTTCAATTCCCCAGATTTCCCAAATTCCTAAATTCCTAAATTTTTAAATTTTCAAATCCTCAAATTCCCAAATTCCCAAATCCCTAAATTCCCATATTCCTAAATTCCCTAATTTCCTAAATCCCTAATTCCCTAATTCCCTAATTCCCTAATTTCCTAATTTCCTAATTCCCTAAATTCCCAAATCCTTAAATTCTCAGATCCCTAAATTCCCAAATCCCTCAATTCCCAAAAGCCCTAATTCTCAAATTCCCACACTCATGAACCCCTAAATTCGTAAAACTCTCAATTCCTAAATTCAACATTCGTGAAAAATTTATTCCTCCAATCCTGTCTTTGTTACGAATAATTTGTATAATTTATATTTACATTTATTACAAATAAGATGAATCTATTAACTTTTATTTACTCCTTGTTATATTAACTACAAGAAACGAGTCTTGAAAACAAGAGAAAGCATGGTGTCTTAAAACGCACCATTTTCTTTTTGTGTTGCTTTCGCTTTAACATTGGTTACATCTAAGCTTTCGTGTACCGGCTCGTTTAGCAGAGGGGAAGACGATCTCGTCAATTATTCAGGTGTTCGTGGTGGCTAACTGCCAGTTCACCGTGTCCGAGATTTCAGGAAGATTGCGGACTATCCTTGAATTTATGCCTATCGTTAACTATGCTCGCCGTAAAGCCAAGTAAACTTCAGCTATTGTGTAAATTTTAAACATCATTACTGAATGTCCGTTCTCTTGGCGGAAATATATTATTGAATCATTTCGTTCAGGTCTACTTGAATCATGCTTCTAATCAAAAAGTAAATTGGGTATATTTATTCAGGTACATTTATTATTAACGTGGAATTTTATTCTTGAGAACAGAAATCAATATTTAGCATATAATATTGTCATTAGATAATCGGATTTTATTAATGGATATCATAACTATTATATGAAAAATTTGAAAAGTAATAGTTAACATCTTTAAGGTAATTCTGATTTGAATAACTACTAGGAACGATTGAGTTTATCTTTGAGCAATAAGAGTAATTACCAATAACAGAAATTTATTTTCGTTACGTGTAATCGTCTTCGAAGATGTATTCTTAATTTTGGTTATCATTAGCAATATAAATGTTTTAAATTATGATTTAATTACCATTACCGATGAGCAGAATTTTATTTCGATTATTAGTAATAGTAATTAATAACTGGAAAAATTAGTAATTTAATACTTTATAATCATATCACTTTCTTTTCTTTTCATATTTAAGGACAACTGACTTTGACTCAAATAAGAATCAGATTTTGTTCAATATTTTTTTCCATACAAATTTTTAAAATAACTGTTTAGATCTTTAGATTTTATTGCTACTGTTCCCATATTTGAAACGTGTGAGAATAATTATTTGTTACTTCATTTCGTCGTGAAAAATTGAATACATAAAATAGTTTAAATTAAATAATGTATTATTCTAATTACTATATTAAACTATACAACAAAAACCGAACATGTAATGTCCCCGTAAATGCATAATAAAAATTCTTATTCAATTCTAAAACAACCAGCGCTAAATCCATACATATTTGCATTGAAAATGAAGTTGAAAAACAAATAAATCAATATAGAAAATAAATAACAAATTTATATATAGTAGCCTTTTTTCTCAGCAAAAATTAATTTACATTTTGATGAAAGCACTAATACTTCTGCTGTCGGCACTTGTTTGAAAATTCATCGAATTCGTCTAAAATTCATAAAATCGTTTATGAGCAAAATATGATTTACAATCAATGATTAGATTTTGAAATAACTTTGGCTATGTTTTGAGTTGGAGTTTGATTAAGTATGTAATAAGTGTTAAGCACTCGAATACTCAGATTTCGGGAAACACCCTCTATTTTATAACAGAATTTAACTTCGTCTAAATTATGGAACTGTCTTATGTAATAATTGGACGCAACTGAATATGATCCTAGTAGTAAACGTGTTAATTAGATTGTATGAAGTAAAAGGAAGCCTAAAATTTCATATTTTATCTAGTTTGGTTGTTGTAATATTGAAAAAAAATAAATATTCTTTTTCAAAAATTAAAGAAAATGTTCATATAATAAATGAGTATTTGCATTTAGATTTGAGTAACGACAGTTACGGCACAGTGGTGAACATGGGATTAGATGGTGAAGGTGCGAGTCCAGGTGGAGGTGGAAATGGGGCAGGCGGGGGCCCTCCACGTGGTTATTTGGGTGCAACGACTCCCCCTTATCTTTCAACGTCCAGATCACCGTCCTTACCACCTCAATTTCCATATCCACCGGATGCTGGTCTTTCCGTCTATACCACACTTGGTAAGTATCAGATTAATTTCTTCTCTTAAATCGTGTCTATTCCTATTGCATTTAACACGTTGATCGTCACGGTGGTCTTGTTGTTACTGATACTACAAATTCAGTCAAATTAATTATTTATCGAAATAGTAAACGAAAAAAACGTTTAAATGGTCTTAATATTGAAACAATGATATATATTAGCAGATTAAGAAATGAAATTGAAAAATTGAATATCCTTATAATACTCTATATCATAGTGTTGTCTAACACCGAACGTCAGTTTTCACTGTGGTGGTCAACTTGTTATTATTATTCTTCTAAGCATTCTATGTCAGTTTTTTAAATAATATAAGTTCATTTGTAATATTCAATAATTGGAATATCTTTCCAATTACATTGATTATTAACTATTACAAATTTTCTGTGCACCGTCTTTAAAGTTTTTACAGATCCTAGTAATTAATGTCCCGAAAGTACAATGCAATAAGCAAAGTAATATTGCTAGAGCTACGCAAATTCGAAAATTTCGTATACAGTTTTGAAATTTGAATACTTTGAAATATTCGAGTACCTTAAATCTTCGAGTATCCAACTATTATCTTTCTTTTTCACTACCGAATAACAGAAACAAAGTCGAACGTCGAGGAACCATAAATGACAACATTCGAAAGGGTGAGCCGTATACAAAATTCGCATGTCCGAATACTCGAATACCCAGGAGACAAACGACTTCTGTTGGGCAAGAGGGAGGAATATCGTAGTACCTCAAACGCCATCTTTGAAAAACTAGCCTGTTATCCCAGGCTAGAGAAAATAAAATACTATTACTATTCGAATATTCGTAGTATTCGAATATATTACTTTAAATTGCCTATAACGTGAACTCATATAGTGCGTAACATATTAACGCTAACATTACCAAACTGATAATTTGACCCTTCCACTTATTTTCTTTCCTAAATTACAAAATTTACTAGGACGCTTTTGTTCAAATCTGTGTTGATTTTTGTAGAGATAAAGAATTAAAGTGTACAAATATTCCAGTTCTAAATATTTACATTCAATTAAATGTATTATTGTTAAAAAAAGTAGTTCGTTGCAACAAAATATACGATATATTTATTGTGAAAGAAATATATAGAGTCACTGCAGTAAAAACATCTATTTTATTGCAGAGAGTAATATGGAAATTTTAGTTTGAATATAATAATTTGTCCCGACTGTACATTCAGACAAAAGCTTCTTAATAATTTTTGCAATTTAAAAGAAGAAATCTAAGATCCGTCATTTTGACGGGTTCCGTAAATCTAGCGTTAATAATGATGAAACTTTATGCTCCGCGTATTTAATCCTATCGATAATTCCCAACTGGACGACGAATCTTCCAGGAGGCGCAGGTGGCATGGTACCAGGACCAGCGTCGGATTTGAGCAACGAATCGAGCGGAGGCGGTGGAGGTGGTGGAGGTGGCGGCGGAGGCGGTTACCCAGACTTAGTAATATTGCTAGAGCTACGCAAATTCGAAAATTTCGTATACAGTTTTGAAATTTGAATACTTTGAAATATTCGAGTACCTTAAATCTTCGAGTATCCAACTATTATCTTTCTTTTTCACTACCGAATAACAGAAACAAAGTCGAACGTCGAGGAACCATAAATGACAACATTCGAAAGGGTGAGCCGTATACAAAATTCGCATGTCCGAATACTCGAATACCCAGGAGACAAACGACTTCTGTTGGGCAAGAGGGAGGAATATCGTAGTACCTCAAACGCCATCTTTGAAAAACTAGCCTGTTATCCCAGGCTAGAGAAAATAAAATACTATTACTATTCGAATATTCGTAGTATTCGAATATATTACTTTAAATTGCCTATAACGTGAACTCATATAGTGCGTAACATATTAACGCTAACATTACCAAACTGATAATTTGACCCTTCCACTTATTTTCTTTCCTAAATTACAAAATTTACTAGGACGCTTTTGTTCAAATCTGTGTTGATTTTTGTAGAGATAAAGAATTAAAGTGTACAAATATTCCAGTTCTAAATATTTACATTCAATTAAATGTATTATTGTTAAAAAAAGTAGTTCGTTGCAACAAAATATACGATATATTTATTGTGAAAGAAATATATAGAGTCACTGCAGTAAAAACATCTATTTTATTGCAGAGAGTAATATGGAAATTTTAGTTTGAATATAATAATTTGTCCCGACTGTACATTCAGACAAAAGCTTCTTAATAATTTTTGCAATTTAAAAGAAGAAATCTAAGATCCGTCATTTTGACGGGTTCCGTAAATCTAGCGTTAATAATGATGAAACTTTATGCTCCGCGTATTTAATCCTATCGATAATTCCCAACTGGACGACGAATCTTCCAGGAGGCGCAGGTGGCATGGTACCAGGACCAGCGTCGGATTTGAGCAACGAATCGAGCGGAGGCGGTGGAGGTGGTGGAGGTGGCGGCGGAGGCGGTTACCCAGACTTTCCACCCTCGCCCGATTCATGGCTCGGCGAACCACCACCTCCACACGCTCACCACCATTCACACTACGCCACATAACCCGGCAAAATTACGCGTTGCCAAGCACCGTTCGGAAGAGCGGATCGGCGCAAAGCGTTCACCTGACGAGCCCTTCGACGAAGCGCACCTCGATCGAAAGACTAAAGCCCTCCATTCGATCAACCTGTCCTTCTTCGTCGATCATCGATCTTACGATCCTCGAGCATTCGGAAGGATCTCGGTGTTCTCGATGTCCCGTCGTAAAGAAAAGATTTAACCACGAGCGGAACTCAATACAAAGCTGACAATCGAGCACCGACTCGAGCCAGGGAATCATTCTACACCGTACTCTGCACCGTCCCGGCCGGTTTCCCGTCATCGAAATGATGCCATATTGTCTGAGCTGTCGTATAACGTTACATTTATAGCGCACGTACGATACGCATTCGATAGGTACGATTAATCTAAATATATTTATGTACAAGTTCCTCGTTTCCCGGTACTATGGAGTTTAATCGTCGATTAAAGAAATCTAGAGGGTAGTTTAGACGTGTCGCAAGAACAAGGACGTTCGTTCGAATCGATACGACTCGAAGAAACGATCGTTCGTAGTCGGCTGCTCTTCGAACATATTTATCTTGATATTCAACGAAATCATTGGGAAATATTTCGAAGAACATCATTCCCTTATTCTAACGAACGACTCCATTGAATCGATCGAAAAATCGCAATTCTAATTCGCAAACCACATCATTTCGTTCATGTACACTCGATTACGATGTAGGTTTCCCTTTGGTAAGGATGAGCGCAAGAAAAGGAGCATCACGTGACTTCAATTTTGGAAAAACTAATATGTAAATTTGAAAATTTCTAAATTCTCAAATTACCAATTTTTCGAATCTGTAAACTTTCAAATTTTTAAATTTCTCAATTCACAGTTTATGCAAATCTTGAATTCCATAAATTTACAAATCACCGTATCCCTGAATCTCCAAATCCTAAAATTTCTTAATTCCATAATTTTCAAGTTCCCAAATTGCCAAATTTCCATATCTCAAAATTTCCAAGTCTTCGAATTCCCAAATTTCAAAATCCTAACCTGGAAAATTTGAAAATTTCTGAATATGAAAATTTACTAATTTTCAATGTTGATTTATCCAAAGATCAAGTGATGTCACCTGTTTCTCCTACGTCGCCATTTTCCGTAGGGAAATCTATCATTCTCACTGTAGTGTACGTCATAGAACACGTTTCTGTGGTAACAGCGCTTACGTGACGATAGTTTCAGGTGTCATTTATTGTAAATAGTTTTCAGATTAGATTCTATCATACTACAGTAAGAGAAGACAAAAAATGAAAAGTAGGAAAAGATGAAGAGAATTAAAGAGGATTGGCGTACAGCGATCTTTAAGGGGCGACGCCGTCCGCGAGCAAAATTCGAAATGAAAAATTAACTCTGAAGTAATAATGAATTTTCCAAACAGACGCTCGTTAATTCGATATCACCCGTGTAAGAAAAAACATTGCGTGATGTTTTTCGATACCTTTTATTAGTACATTTATGGAAGTACATTAAATAGTAAAAGTTCGTTTGGAAAGATATCAACGAACCATAAAAATTGAGTCAAAATTATGTCACTAACGTGACTAATTTTTTAACGTAGGACTACGTGTTTGTATTTTGATGTTAACGGTGACAGCCACTTATTATGTTAAAATGAACCTGTAACTTATTGATTCAGGTTTCAATAACGTTTCCAATGTTCTGCGTTAGTTTTGGTATTTTAAAGAAAGTATGAAACATTTCTTTGTGAACCTGAATTTTTATACGTATGATGTATTATTTGAAATATTTCTTCCTCAGGTATTTAGAATGTTTTAGGGATTAAAAAATAGAATTTTTAACAGGTCTATATGTTTTATGGTAGGGCCGAAAAAATGTGATCGTCTAAAAATGGTAAAATGTAACTATAGGTTTACACTCATGGTACAGGTATAACAATAATGATGCAAACAAAAGAATTGTATTGTATTGTAGATTGTTTCAAAAACTCTTTGTACGTGTATATCGTTCCTCTTGTATGCATGGGCGTAGCCAGGAAGAGGACACAAAAGGGTATTTGCTTTCGTTCCACCTAAAAAAAAAATGAAAAGAAAAAGAAATTGATTTTCACTTCCTTTCAAACAAGGAAACATTATATAATTCATAGGTAATATTTATGTGTGAAAATAAATTTTGAATTCTATTTGAAGTAATATGGTGAAATTTACCTTGAGATAATTTTGCCTCCCCTTAACTGAGATCTTGACTACGCCTATGCTTGTATGTGAATTATTTTAACCACATTAACGGCGTAAGTTATACTGTGCCAGAAAACGTAGACGTAGTCCTACGTCAAAATTCATTTGAGAAAGATCGATATCGATTGGCCACAATGTAAACGATCATATTATCCAGGTTGACACTAATGGCTTACATACTCACGCAATTTACGCAAACTGATTTGTGCAATTAATTTTAAGCAAGTCAATCGTTACGTGAAAGTAGAAAATGTTGACAGTTGCAATTTGACGGTGTTTGGTCAACAAATTTGATTTGAGCAGAGCCTGTTCCTCAAGAGAATTTGCAAATTTTAAAATTATAAGATCTCTAAATTTAAAAAATTTTGAAATTTTGAAATTCTCAAATTCTCATACTCTCGAATTGCTAAATATTCAAACCAATAAATTACCAAACGTTCAAATCTCCAAATACTCAATTATCCGACTTCCAATTTCTAAAATTTTGAAATTTAAAAATTCTCAAATTTCAAAATTTCTAGATCCCCAAATTTCAAAATTCTCAGATTCCCAAATTATTCAAATTCGAAAAATTGTTCAGTTCTCTACTCTCTACAATTTCATTCACACCAATTTCTAAATTTGCTAATTCCATAAATTCAAAAATGTTGAAATTTAAAAACTTTTTTTAAATTATCAAATTTTATAGTTCTGTAATTTGCCAATTTTAATTTCTCAAATTTCTATTTTCTAATTTTCTAGTCTTCATTCGTTCCTATTCCTTTTGAAGCTTTTTTTTAAAGTAACTCAATATCATCCATTTTTGTAATATACAATCTCGTCTGCATAAAATTAATTATGGAACTAAAAAATTATGTGCATTAAACCAAATAGACAATCAAGGTTATTAATTCGGGTTATTTGTTCAAATTTATATTTAGTCACTACAATTTGCATAAATTATTTGAGCGTGTAAAGCCAGTTTTAAAAAATAATTGAAAGACATTTCATGTATAAATTTAACAATTTGAAATTGGCGCGCATCGTGGTTAATGAAAATCACTCTTCCTTCCCGCCAACAGCTCAGTCGTGTTTGAAGTGCGGTAGAGTGTAGACGCGTCGCGAAAACGATCCACGTAAATCAGACTTTATCGCTTCTAATTTCGAGCGTCGTGAATACAACCTTGTAACAGCGTGATTCTTAATCGTGATAACCAGATGTGAACAGTTAATGGGGCCGTATTTCCTGTCATTGGACGGCTGCATAACTGACAATGGAAACATACGACTACTTTTGAAGTGTTTGTATCCTGCTACCAATGACAGTATCTATGGTTGTCAGCTAAAAGTAAGTCCTGTTTTACATAAATTATTAGACGAATGTTGCTCGGCGCCGTCAATGCGAAATAGCTAAACCAACAGTGCGGCGTTCGTTCAACTATCAAGTCACAGTTTATTTGTATGTTTGTTTACCATTGGGGTAACCGAGCGTCATTAGATTACACTTTCAATGCGTACTGTATCACGTTTCATCGATTTGCAGTATCGGAGAACCAATATCGTGAGACGATTCGATCGATCGGTCTGGTTTCAGTTCGATTTACATGGTTGACACTTTACGGATGAAATTGTGTAATTTTTTCGAGATTTAGAGATTTATGAGAACTCAAAAATGTTGGATGTAATTAAGAACAGAATTTGATAGTAGTAATACTGTTAATATTACTGTGTTATATTTTGTCTATGGCCATGCTTTTGTTATTACATATTGCAAGGTTTCGTGTTATATTGTCACGCATTATATCAACATGTATTGTCAGGCATTACATTGAAATGCATTATATCGTCACAGAATGTATCATGAGACTAGGTTTTCGAAATTTCGAGTAATCTTAATATTTTCGAACTTCGAAGTACTTTTGAAAACCCAACTCGATCTAAATTAACCTGATCTATTTGCTGCTCAATCTATTGATATCCAACATTCTTAAATTCTCGTATTTTCCGTAGTTTTTTTACGTTTCATAAAAAAATGCATACTCAAGTGCAAAATAGGCTTTCTTTGAGTAAAAATTAATGTGGAAAGACGCGGAAGAGCAAAGGGATGTTGCCCATTAATTGAATTTGAAGAATCTAGTACGATGTACACTCACAACTTTCAAAAACAATTTCTGATTCTCAAATTTCTAAATGGCGACATTTAGAAATCTAAATGGTAACATTTATAATTTTTCAAATTTTTATATTATCAAATTTTCAAATCCCCAAATGTTCTAATTTCCGAGTTTTCAAAACTCGCATTCTCAAATCCTCATTGTTCTAAATCTCCACATTTCCAATTTCTGAAATTCTCAGATCCCAAAATCTCAATCCTTGGTTTCCCCAATTCCCACATCTCCAAACTTCCAAACTTTTACAACTTAAAAATTTGTAAATTTTTAAATTCACCATTTCAGGACCAAAGAACGCTTTTTTTCCTACACCATTTTCACTGAGAAAGCCTAGCATACTCATCACTACAAAATCAAAATAAATTAACGCATAATATTTTGTACAGTTTTTACATTATATTTCTGTCGAAGTTGAATATTGATTACATTCCCGTCGGTAAAGTGATAACAGTTTTAAATAATCAAAGTCATAATGATGTCAATTGTCCTCGATTCACGTAATATGTATAAAATGTATATGTATGTAAACATGGAAAGCATGTCGCGAAAGTATATACTTTACGACTAGGTTTAAAAGGATCGATAATCAAAAGCAGCGGGTTCGATCGATCGAATACGATCTTCATCTGTGGGTAACTCCGTACGCATGCGCAATAATACGAGGCGCACTTTAAGTAATTAAATTTTAAGTAATTTCGACGCACGTTCATTAATAAAACTGAGCAATCTTTTAAAATTGCTTTCCAAACTAAAATCTTTTGAAAAAGTTTGTTTGTCAAAAATGCCTCGTATTATTCGAAGAAGCAGTCGAGATATCACGCGACGAGAATAAGGATCGAGGCAGAGAGAAAAATATTGTAGAATTGTATATACGTCGTCCCCAGTCGTTTTATTCACGAGAATTCAAATAATTGAAAAAAAAGATCGTCAAGATATATGCTGTACTCCGTCGGGTAAGGATATTGAATGTTGTACAGAATTACGAGAAACAAACACGTGCTCCTCACCGAATTTCACAAACAAAAAAAAGAGAAAGATTCGCGTGACTAGCACAATTCATAAACTTCATCGACATGAGTTACTACGGATCTTTATATTATTATCTAGTCATCGAGTGATAATAAAAATTCTATCGTAATCTACATCATGCTGTATTTTGTGTCCAGCTCTACACCTGTTATTTTATTAATACTTTTAAATCATATTTTTAATATTAGAATATTTTATTTATAAGAATGATTTTAGTAAACTTATATTACTAAAATGCTATAACACATTGAATAATATTTCATAATGTACATAGGAATTATATGTAAATTTCTTCTTAGTGAAATTCAAATATAAGAAAATTAAATTTGATGTCTGCTATATTTAAAAATAATTTCGAAGTTTTACCTTTTTTATAATATGAATATTAATTTTTAATTATCAAATGATGAACCAATGACTAGTTAGAACGCTTACACCTAATCTTAAATGTTATATGATTGCCGTTTCTTAAATGTAATACTATGCCTTTAAGTATTTTATGGTATAGAAAATAATTTTGTGTAAAAATGATTGTCTAAGTTTAGTGGAAATATCGTTGGATACGATTTATAAATCTGGGTCACAATCGATCCGATTTTATCGTTTGAACGTTAATCAAAGTAAGTGCCATTTGAATGAATAATCTTCTTGAATATTTACATTGATTTTTATATTCCTCTATGATAGCATCCGAGTGCAAGTTAACTTATATTGCATCTATTATATGTGTATTTTCCATAGCATGTGGAAATTTAGGGAGATGGAAGAGGATTGGGGAATTACAAGGTTTGAAAATTTTGGAATTTGGGAGGATTAGAATTTTCGAGATTGAGAGGTTAAGAGATTGAATTTGAAAATTAGGCATTTAGAGATTAGGGGTCTTGAGAGTTTGGGGATTCGAGAAATTGTGGATTAGAGAATTTCAGCATTTGAGAAATCGAGGATTTGAGGTCTTGAGAATTTTTGAGATTTGTGAAGTTGGGGTTTTGAGATTTTAGTGATGTAAGAATTTGTGGTCTTGAGAATTTGGGGACTTGAGAATTTGGGGATTTGAGAAATTGCTGATGTAAGTAACTGTTACATCTTCTACTTCATTTTCAGTTCAAAAGTGCATTAAACACTACTTATATTAATGGTGAATCAAAACATTTGTGTCAAGGATTATAAAAGTAATCTGTTGCAAATCATGTATTATTCATTTCTAAATGTTTACACATTTGCATTTAAATATAGTAACAATTATTTATCTACTATGATATAAAACGCTTTATGCGCTTATGTTTTTACAAAATATACAACTTATGTGTTCTAAAATTTGATGCATAATTTGCACAAAAGCATGCCTTAAACTATGATTTACAATAACAAAAAATGAATTTTATGAACAAAACAAGTCAAAAATAAACATATTCAGTTATGTTATAATTAACATTTTGATTTCTAAATGTTTAATACTTTGATAATAAAGCTATACCTACACTTTAGGATTTTAAAATATTCATAATGAATAAGTGGAATACAAAGTATTATAATTATGTATATTTCTTTCATTACTAGTCTTTTAATTGGAAGTAATGGAGGTAATTAAACATTACAATACAATTTTAGAAAAATTCTTTCATAAAGCAAAAGAAGAATTCAGTTCTTTGATCTTTTTGTTTAAAGTTTAAACCACTTTCATAATTATTAGCATAGTTTAAAAATGCTACAACATTAGTTTCAAATTTAATAAAAACGTTAAACACTAACAAGTAATAACAGTACTATAATAATTAAACATTTTTTCATATTTTAAATGTCTAAATATGAATATAAAATGTTCTATTTAGTTCAAACACGATGTATAATATAAGAAAGATAAAAATAGATAAAGAAAATATTAACTTCAAATATCTATTAACACGTTCACGTCGGGGTGACTCACTGGTGGGTCACGTTTGACTGTTCCGTGGGGCGGCGTGACCCACCGGTGGGTCACACTTAATTGTCCCGTGAGGCGACGTGCATCACAGGTGGGTTTTCAAAAAATAAGTTTATTTTATTTTTTGTCAACATTATAAACAAAAATTGAGTATTATAAGCATTAACATTCTAAACTTTTTAAAACATTCTAAACAATCACGAATTATCACTTAAAACCAGGCCCAGAGCTCGTTAAATCGTGACTGGGTCAGAACAGTGTCGGGTGCCCGAATCCGCGCTGTTTACACAACACTTGTATTTTCGATAATTGTTTTTAACATTCTTTACATCGTTTTCTTGTTTTTTTGGCAGCCCCTTTGAACGATTGTAGAAAATGTATGTGTTTTCTTGACCGTTTTTTCTTTTCTATTTCACATTCTTCGATTTCTCTGTGAAAAATTCAAAAAGGAAAAGTGCTAACCGCCTCTGTAGAAGAAAAGATAATTTTACCTACCTTTATACTTGATGCAAGAAATATGCGTTTCGAAAACTCTATGTCAAAACTGTTTTGATCTCGTATTTAGCGCGTTCGAAGCTTCGAAGGAGTAACAATGTCGCCCCGCCCCACGAAGAAAAATGTAACGTCCCTGGTACTAGGCTCAGGTATTTTACAGCACTTATGAAGCAAAGAGTGGCTTTTGCCTAGTAAGCGACTCGTTTTTACTATAACTAATTCTAAAAGAATGTGGGATCGTGGTGGCGTGTGGTTAAAGAGTAAAATCTACAGGTTAATACCTTTCATTAATTAGGTTTATTCAATTAATGATGAGAAAGAGAGTTATAATTAACAATTTCTTTAGCAAATATAAAAATGTATGTATGACTGAATTCTATAAGCAAATTGGAGTATACTAGACTTGTTGATATCGCAAATCGCAAAACGGTAGCTAACTACTTCAGTAGTTTTCAAAAAATAAGTTTATTTTATTTTTTGTCAACATTATAAACAAAAATTGAGTATTATAAGCATTAACATTCTAAACTTTTTAAAACATTCTAAACATAATGCGGGCTAGCCCTTACAACTTTTACAATATGTTCTTACTTTTTTACTTTTTTTTTGCGGCGTATAATCTACCTTGTATTTTCGATAATTGTTTTTAACATTCTTTACATCGTTTTCTTGTTTTTTTGGCAGCCCCTTTGAACGATTGTAGAAAATGTATGTGTTTTCTTGACCGTTTTTTCTTTTCTATTTCACATTCTTCGATTTCTCTGTGAAAAATTCAAAAAGGAAAAGTGCTAACCGCCTCTGTAGGAGAAAAGATCATTTTACCTACCTTTACACTTGATGCAAGAAGTATACGTTCCGAAAACTCAATGTCAAAACTGTTTTGATCTCGTATTTAGCGCGTTCGAAGCTTCGAAGGAGCAACAATGTCGCACCGCCCCACGAAGCGTAACGTAAATATTCGCCCCGGCGTGAACGTGTTAAGAAAACAATTTGCAAGTCATATTACAAGTAGAGCAAGTAAATATTGTGTACAGCTCTTACTGAAATATAAATTGCAGTTAAATAAACAAGAAGTATATGAAGGAAACTAGGAATTGATATTAGGAAATAATTGGTTGATAAATTTCAATTTTTGTCAAATATCAATGGCACTTTATTTATGGGACTATGTACAGATGCTGAATAAAATGATAATTCTGAGTTTATATGTACACGAGCATGAATTTCTGGTCTTGAAGAACACGAAATGTGATAAAATGGACAGTTCTTTCTTGCAAATAAAACTGCGTAAATCTTTGGAGAGAAGAAAAAATCTACAAAAGAATATTAGAACGCTTACATAATTATATACAAAACTCACAATGTACAGTTTCATCTTCCTTTATGAAGTATGCTTTTCCCTCACATTTCCATTTCCCCTTTTTATCATTTTAACACTTGACAAATCTATGAAAATATTTTGTCGTTGTTTGCACAAGATATAACAAATGCCGCTGTCATCTGCCAATTCATAAATTTTTACACGAAATTTAAAGAGAATCGTTCAGCAGTAAAAATGAGAGTATAATAAAAACGTGATTATAAAAAATAAATTATGATGTTAAATTTTTAAATCTGCAACCAACAGCAACTTTGCATTCTGATTTCTCTGTCATGTATAAAATTCTCTCTTTTCCATTCCTGTCAATTATCCAACGGTTCCTCGTACGTCCTTGTTTTTTTCAGTATACTCTTAGTAATTTGTAACTGTTTTGCTATAGCCTTTTCGACGTTCTTCTTATTTTTATTCGATGCAGACAAATGTTGGAAGGTATCTTCTAATGCCCTTCTTGTTTTCATCAACCTTCTCTTCAGCGTTTCATTTTCTTGTTTTAAAGCTTCCACTTCGTCGAGACCTGAGAAAATAAAATTGAATTTTTAGTTATTACATTCTGCATCTGTAATAGTTTAGATAGTGAAGAAATTCGTAAATAAATGGTTTTAAGTTTGAGAGAATTATTATTTATAACTATTATAAAATTATAGACAATTAACAACCTTTGAATAATTAGATTGTTTTCAAAATGTTTGGTAGAACTATTAAAAATAATTGTAGCATAATTTCTATAAAGATAATTTTCAACAATTATTTTAAAATTATACACGTTGCTAAAAAGTATTATTTCCCCAGAAACCAGCTTTTAATTATTTTTTAATCCTAAAAAGTTACCAATAATTAAAAATTTTAGAATAAGTAGTTGAAGTTTCAGAGAATTTAGACAAATTATTGGAAACAATTTTCAGTAAAATATGTAACAAAATCATATATATTTTTGAAAAAATTAAATAAGAATTATTATAAAATTGTAGCGAGCTTTCTTTTACCTTCTAATGGCAATGGGCTTTCATTATCCATTTCCCGAACTGGTCTGTTGCTATTGCCATTATCTTCATCGCTTAATAAATTAGTCATTGATTCCGTGATTTTCAAAGTATCCTTCAGTGGTCTCATAGTTGTAACAGCTGCATCGCTTTCAATCCCTAAGTCTGGTGAACAACTTGTCTTGCTACGTCCTCCCATTGTTGGGTAATTTACCACAGGTAACCAATATTGTGAATTCTATACAAAATAACATATTGTTTAATTATATAACTGTTTAACTCTTTAAACATTAGATTATTTTGAAAAATCATCTTATTCGCATGTAAAAAAGTGACAAAATATAAAAGATTGATATTGAAAACTGTAACTCCTTTCCATTATCTCAATCCAATTTGCATAGAGTAAATAGTAATACTAGTACCAAAATTAACTACAGTTAATAGTGTTACAGGTTTAACATTAAAATAAAAAAGTAATAAATAACTTAATATAGAACAATTTCTATCAGAATTGAAAAGATACAGGGTGAAGAAGTAACTTATATAGAATAAGCTGTACTTTAAATATTTTGTTCAATAGCAAAAAGTTTCAGAGATAAGTGTAGTTGCTTTGAATGGAACCCACTGTATAAATCAATTATTAATCCTTACTAAATAAACACAAATATAAATACAAGTTAATAACTTCTTTTTATCTAATTGAAAATAGCTAAAAATAGTTTGGATCACATGCGATTCTACTTTACCAAATATGTAGTAAAGTCTTTATGAAAATTGTCTGACAACATAGAAATTAATTTGGATCAAGATGATAGAAAGATAAAGAATGGTAAGAGGTTAAGCTTAATCGTGAATATAAATTATGGACTAACGTTGTATGTTTGATATTCTTGCATGATATCCTCGCATGTTTGTTTAAGTATAGCTTCTGTAGGTATTGAAGAAACACCACTAGAACTAGGCGCCGAATCACTCGCTTCGCAAACTGCAACATGTCTTCGGAGTTCCTTGTTAGCGACCTCTAGCTCCTGTAACCTTACCCTGTGAGATTCGTTTATTTGATTCAGATCCGATATCTGAAAGAGAACATTGCCAAAAATTATATTTCAAACTTACATAATATAGACATGTATACGAAAAAGACATGAATTAGTTAAATATGTAGAAATGATTAAATTTTTGTTCAACATTACAGTAAAATTCCATTTAAAGCTGATTCGATAAGGTGACCTAGTTTGTCCGCATAACTTTACTATCATATTCTATTAATAAAAACGCATATATGAACATAGGCTCATGAATGCATTTTTTAAAGTTATTAAAAAAAATATAAAAGTTGACAATTGACAATTATTATTCATATATAGTGTTGAAGAAAAAAATCGTCAATTATCATTTTGTACATTCCTTATAATCTTTAAATAAAATATTTAAGAGCCTATGTTTACATAACATTTTTATATTATTTTTATTTATAGAACATATTGGTAAAATTTTATGCACAAAAGTGAGAGACATTACATGTGGTATTGAAACACAAAGCGTAAGAAGTCATTTTGTACTCTGGACATGACTTTCAACAAAGCATTTAAAACTCTATGTCAATATAAAATTCTTTTCTCTATTTTTTCATATGGAATACATTGACACAATTTGGCAATAGTAAACTGAACACTAAGTATATATATTATGTATGTTATGAGATGATATAAAATTAGCTGAAAATTAAAGCAAGACTTCTATATTCTTAATATTTCCTTATCCCATTCACTGTGTGCTAAACTGACCACGTCTAACGCTTCATTTAACGTTTTGTATTCTGTGAACGAATCTTCAGCATGTATTGAAGTATACTTGCATGTTATTTGTAAATTTATTTAGTGAATTGGGCAACTTATGATGAAAGAATGATTTCTATTATTTTGTAAGATTAATCTCGGAAACCTTACCTCTTTGTTAAATTTGTCATGCATAGAACGGACGGTCATATCACATCTACTCTCCGTTTTCCTCACTTCTTGTTCCAAACGCAATTTGTCATTTGTTAACTTGGTATTCTCCACGAGAATTTGACTGTGCGATAAAGTAAGATGGTCCAGTTCCTTTGTTAACGCTGATATGCTTACTTTGGCAGCTTCGTTTTCCTCTTCTAATTTCTTAATTCGCGTTCTCAACTACAATTTCATAAAAGTTAAATCGTCATCAAGAAATGTTCATGTGATAATTTACAATTAATAATTGCAATTTCTTTCAATTGAATAGAGATACAGTTTTTAAACATTGATCAGAAACAATTGCTCCATTAAGTGATGTACAATATACAATATTTTTTATCTTTCATTCTTTTTATTGGTTATTCAAAAATTGTTAAAAAAAAAAATATTCCTTTTATTACACTCGTTTCTTGGAAGATTAAGTAACTCTTATTTTTATTGAAAATTTAAAAATACTCTGTTGCAATATTTTATGCAATAAATATACCAACAACTACAAGTACAATATTTGTATGAACAGGGATTGTACTTAAGTATTTTTTTCTATCAAACTTTACTATTAATATTAGAACCAAATAAATTGTTTTGTTCATACTAAATGGGCCCAACGCATAATGCACATTTAATTAAAAATTAAAACTAAAATAGAAAATTAAATAAATATACGATAAAATATAAATTAATGTAAACATTAATTTGTTACTCTACAAAAATCAACACAGATTTCAACGCAAGCAACTTAACAAACATTGCAATATAATTTAATTAACTTATAAACAGGTTACTTAACCGGTTTGGTAATTTGAGTATTAATAAGAAGTTTAAAGAAGAATTTGTATCTTAATTACGGTACACAACTGTTTCCGAATATTACAGTATTTATATTGCAATACAGTTAGAGAAATAACTTATTACCGCATCGTTTTCTCTATTAAGTGTTATCAGCATCTCCGCAGCTTTCCTCTCAGAGTTTTCTTTGTAATGCATCAATTCTGCTTTCTGTTTATTCATTTCTGCTGCCATGCTTTCCAGATCAACTAATTTCTTCTCCAACTGTGCTCTGCGAGCGCAGTTTTGCTTGCTTTCCTTTTTCAATACATGTACCTCATGTACTCTTCTCTCCAAAGACGACTGCAATTTCTCGCAGAATTTTTGTGATTTTTCCAATTTGATGATTAGCGGGGATATTTTATCATCAAATTCCTGAAAAACATTTGAAAAGAGTATTTTAACCGTAATAACAAACTAATGTAAGCATAATAATCTTTACAAGTTTTCAACATTATTGAAAGCACTTAAATTTTTAGAATAAAATTTATATTTATTATTTAAAATATAATTTTTTCCACAAGCGTATGTGCTACTAATTTAATTCACCTTTTAATCCTCCTTCCGGGGAGTGCAAATAGAATAGTAATGAAATTTGTCAGGAAATTATTATCTAAACAGTAAGAGTAACTGATACTCACACAATCGAAAGAAATTTTGCTGGTCATTTCATTTCTGAGAGCACTAAGCTCCGTGTACAATAAAGCGTTCGTTTCCTTGAGCTCTTGTATGTGATGGTTAGTCTCAGAATCGTTTATATCATTTTGGTGGATTTTGTGATAAGGCACGTACTCCATGGAATCCTCAGAATCGCTGAATGTTTTGGTATACTTAGAAAATCTGGATCGGTTCAAAGATTTCTGTTGCGTCTCCTGCAACCCAATTCTAGCCAACGAGACGGTTCTATCAGGTTCCGAGAACGCTTCTGAATCAGACTGCGTCGAGCCATGATTTTTCGTAGCACTCAGTAAATTCTCCGACCAGCTTTTCTTCACAGAATTGTCGATCGATTTAGCGTTCATTTGATCCACGTTGAACGGAAAATCGTTAGCCGAGAGACCCTCCAACGCGTTAACGAAATCATCGGACAATATCTTCGAATTCATCAACACATCGAGCACGATTCTCTTATGCTCATTACCAACCGTGTCCGCGTGATCCACGGTCTTCATCATCTCCTTCATGAACTTCATTAAGTCTTTCAGATGAGTACGTAATAGCTCGCAATATTTTTTCGCTCTTTCGGTTTGGTTATCCCCGTATCCGTCGATCTCCGTCGCGATCTCCGGTCTCGAGACCAGTTTCAACCACTTCAGGTAGTCTACTTCTTTCTCCAACTCGTTTTTTTGCATCACCAGCTTCTGCACATAGTCCGTCATAGTTTTTACGTCTATGGGCTCATTCCCGTCGACGTAATTCAGCTGGATCACCTCATTGGTAAACGTAACTCTGATACCAATGTCGTTCAATTCTTTCACCAGGGTCGATAGCTGCGCGCTGGCGCTCTCGTGCATCATGTCCGACTTGTTTCGGCTCCTTTCGTGACAATGGTTGACGGTCATGTGATTGTGGAGCTTCGCTATTTCCTTGTTTTTGCTCCACAATTCCGTGTTCACCAGCTGCTGCAGATTCTGCGTCTTCATGTGCAGCTCTTTCGCTAGCTGCTCGATCTTCTGGTTCTTTTCCTCGATTTCAGCGTCTCGTAGCTGAAGCTGTCGAAGAAGGTCTTCTCGTTCGACCATCACCTCAGCTTCGTTTTTCGCTGTTTCTTTCATCTTATCGAGCTCCTTCTCCTTGTCCTGTAGTTGCTCCTTTATCGTCTGCTTCTCGATCTCGAGAACTTCTATCTTTTGCTCCTTGTCTTGAAGTCGTCCCTGCAGTTCCTGAAAAAAATACAGTTAGACTCCATTTCAAAATTGATGTGTATATTATAGCGGAATTTGTCGATTTACAACGATTTTTATTTGGCCTTTGTAGTTTTAATATCCTTACTGAAAAAGGCCACATAGATACTTTTCTTTATTTCTGTATGCAAAATCTATCAATAGTTCTTTTTAGATCATTCTTTTTATACACTTAATGTACAGTTAACTTTTGTAACATAGTTGTTCATTGTTTTTTCAAGATACATTTCAGTTTTTACAATGAAAGTATTTCATTCATTTTAAAACATTGTAAATTTATTCTGAGAACTTATTTTATATAATAATATTCAAGGAAAATATTTAAGTGACGTCCTACAGTTAGAACATTCTGTATATACAAGGTGCTTTTAGTAAAAAGGTATCTTCTATAACATTATGGTATTTTTCTTTTAAAATTTCAGTACTGTACATAATAATACGTATGAATGTCACAATATAACAATAGTCTTTTGCAAAGAGAAGTTCCTCTGTTTCTGATTATTTATTTTATTATTATTACTGTAAAAACTGATTGTACATGAAATTTATATGAAAGCTTCTTTACTTTTGGAACTTCTTAGAAAGGTTTTACGAAATGAGTCACTATGTTATAAAGATTTAAAAATGTGAACATGGGAAAATGAAAGAAAAGTCATATGGAAATGGAGTAATCAGATTTTAAAATAATCGTTTACACAAATGTAAAAACTCCTTTTTAGAAATACAATAACTGATTATATGTAAGTTACATGCAATATCAATTAACACCCGAATAAACTCAAGATATGCTGGATGAATTACATATTGAGACATGTGATATCTCGAATCTACTGAGAAATAGAAAAAACTATTCAGGATTAAGTTGAATGGTATGATAACGTCTATTTTTCTACTTCATTTACTTCATGAACATTACATTCAAATAACGTAAATGCACATTTTTTTTAAATGGAATTGTATACTAATTTTTACTCGTTTGCACTTGTTAGAACATTCTGCGTACAATGTTCAAAATATTAATATTTCATGTGATCTCTCACATGTTTATGAATCGTGTACTGATTTCCTTAAAAATATTTAAATTTTCACGTAGTACACTTTTCTTCTGTACGTCTTTCATAACAAAATTAATTTGATCGCTGTTTACATTTGAACAATGCAGTTTGATTCGTTCTCTCATGTTTTCCAGAGTAACGAATAAGCACTCTTATTCTTTAAGTTAACCTCATAGATAAGAATGAAGATTGCGATCGTGAGCGGGTGGTGGTTATGGCGTTAGACTGTGTTCCAAACCATTTGTCAGCATTAATTTGTCGTTGAGAATTATTTATGATATATACACTGTATGCAAGTGCGCATCTTTCATGAAACTCTCAAGCTATTAAAAATATGAGATATTACTGAAAATATTTGTTTTTTAACCCCTTGCCGTGCCATTTATTTATGAAGTGCGTCAGTCAAGACTAACCATTCAGGACTATAACATTAAAACGACCAAAGAAAATTAAAATGTTCTAAGCATTTTATATTTAGGCATCCTTGACAACGCAAATTACAGTTGGATCTAAAATTCAAGTTGAAGAGTATTCAAAATTTGAGTAACATTAATCACATTTGAGTTGTGAGTGCGTCACGAGTGAGACTTGTCAAAGCACGGCAAGGGGTTAATATAGATTTACGGATGTTTGATGGCTACACTTTTCGAAATTGAAATTAAAGTAGAAAAAGAAATTAGGGATGACACGTTAACTACCTAATGTAATAATTGTTCAACTTGACGAAAGTTGTCATACATTTTTACAAATATATCTTAATAACTTTTGTAATTTAAAATAAGAAATCTAAGATCCGTAATTTTGTGGAATTCCGTAAATCTAGTGTTAAATACTGTACTTTAATATTATTTTACACAGAACGTTTTGGGGAATTGATACGAGTAAGAAAAAATATGCAATTGCGTTTTAACCCCTTGTTATACGATTTATTTGTCGGATGCGTTAGTTGGCTTTAATTATCTACTGAAACATTAGTATAAATAAAAAAGGTTAAATTATTATGTCGATTTTGTATTCAGTAATTAACTATGCAAATTATATTTAAACTTAACCCTTAATAGTCACGCGTTATCAGAATAACATATATAGCATACTGAAATATTTAAGATCCCAGCCACTAAAAATGTTTGTTACAAAGAAGTTACAAATTATTTGAACTTCAACAAAATTATAAATAATATCTGAAAGTTATTTTAACATATTTCACAGCTAATGTCAGTAAATTTAAAAACGTTCCACCTTAATGTAAAGAAGTAAACTGTTAGCTGAACACTTTTGAAGTATAACAGTTTGAGGAAAAAAATTCCGATATTTCAGAAAAGATATTTATTCACATTTTCAAGATATAAAGTGGCTAAAATGGGAGCTAAATTGACAGGGGGCGTTTCATACCCCAGTGTGACCATTAAGAATTAAACTACAAATTGAAGTGTATTAAAAATTCGATTAAGCTTCATTACATTTAAACAGTGAATGTGTCACGAAATCCTTCAGAGTATGGAAAGGGATTAAAACAGGTGCATTTGCATTTTTTGTTCAAACGTGGCATTCATTAAAAAAAATGAGATAGTAGAAAAATAAATATTATATCATTCAATTTTTTCCAAAACAATTTTTTCTCATCGCTTATCAAATTCGAGATATAACAATCATACTACGTATCCTACTCATTAGCTAGCCATTTGATAAAACGATGAGTAAATTTACGTTTATTCGGTTTTTACTAACCGAAGATTGTTAACTTTAGTACGTAAAAGAGTAAACTAAAAAAATACTTAACGCGGAGAAAAGATCTTACTTGAAAGTAAGTGAGAGTCACTTTAGAAATTGTACTAACTTGTACAAATGATACGTGGGTGGTAAGAGTGGACATTTAAATTGCATTGGTTAACTGACTCTTATTTCTCGTGAAACGTGATCAAAGATAATTGCGGATTAAGTGGATTATATTATGAAACAAATTAAAAGAGGAATTGGAAAGAACATATCAAATTGTGAGAAGTAATTGCAATGGAACTTCTAGTACCCGAGTTAAGGGTCAGCTTTGGCGACCGAATATTGTGGATATGATTTTTAACAACTCTGGCGAAAAATTAAGAAGTTCTGGCGATCTTATACTATTTAGGAAGAAACAAAGATATTACATATTCTTTTTCCAAAAATGTGCAAAAATGCAACTTTTTTTGCCAAGATTTTGAAGCCAACAATGCTTTGTCATGATTTCTTTTGTAAAATACGATCGTCACTTAAACTACAAATTTCATTTGATCAGAACTAGTTTTACACATACATATAAATATGTGAAGTTCTTTCTCAAAATTCTAAATCTCTACATATCCTTAGTTCTAATTTTCTTAATTTACTAAGTTTCCAAATTTTTAATCTTAAAAATTCGCGTATCTCTATGTGTAAAGATTTCCGAGTTCTTAAATTTCTTTCTCCTCAAAATTTTCATAATTCTTAAATTTAGAGATTTAAATATTGTCAATATGTATACGTAGAAGCTTAGAATGAAACTTTTTATATTATATTTTATATCTATATTTTATATCCATTAGGTAATTTGGAGATCAATATACACTATACGAACGCGTATAAGAAATATTTGATAGAAAAATGATGATTGCTCTCTGAATATAAGAAACCTACTTAAAAGTTTTGTTAATATTTTCATCGTTTTTTATGCATCTTACATTTTCATAATTATGCACAATAATTGTGAAACCTAGAAATTTCAAATTTATATACTTTGAAATTCGGAAATTTCAAATTCCCATATCTTCAAAACATCGTTCTTCCAACATTCAATTAATATTCTCAAAATTGTTAAATTAAATTTCGTAAATTATCAGATTCTTAAGTTTTCAAATCAACAATTTCTTAAATTATCAGATCCTCGTATTTCTACATTCTAAAATTTGAAATTACTTGGAAACCACAATTGGCCGAATTTCTAACTAAATTTCTAGTTAAATTCTCCTATCTAAATTTCCAACCAAAATTTCCTATTTAACTTTCGAACTAAGTTTACCAATTTCTAACATTTTCCTATCTAAATTTCTATTTACAATTTACTATCTAAATTTTCATCTACAATTTACTATCTAAATTTCTATTGTCCCAAATTTCAAATAGTATAGTTCCTTAATTTTTAAATCTTCAATTTGCAAAATTAATAAACTTTCAAATCTTCAAACAAAGAAATATATAAATTTAAATAATTCATTTTCGGAATTTGAAAATCTCAAACTTGTAAATTTAAAAATTTTGACCTTTATAAATTTCCATTATTTAAATTTTCAAACTTCTAATTACCCAAGTTTTTAAAGCCTCAAATACTAAAATTTTATCGAGCAAAATTTTATCAAATTTTGCCCTTTCTGAATCTATTTTATAGATTAAAGAGTTGGTAAAAGAAATTAATGAACGCAAAAGGATTAAATATTTAAATTTATAAAGTTATGAATTTGCAATGTTTTAATCTTTGTTTTCCTTCGACATATCACCGTGTTATGTGAAGGTATCCTATAAGACCTAACTATACATCGTTAATGTTAATGAAAAGATTAAAGATTAACTTTCGAGAAAAATGAATGAATTGATTAACAAAAAATTACCTCCGATTCAACTTCAATCTGCTTCTCCAAACGATTCTTCTCAGCCTTGATCGTCTCTATTTGGTCTCGTAGGTCGTTAATTTTGGCTTCCATTTCGTCGAATCGTTGCTGCACATATAAAGTATTGTTCTCGTCAATAAAACTCGGAAACAAAATCGGTTTAAACGATCGGTAGGCTTTATTTGCAGAACAGCTGCGATTACAAAGATGGTGTGTAATGTACAAAAGTTGCGTGCGACAAAATTTTTTAGATTTAAATCGTGCGAATTAAAACGAATCGAATGAATCTCGGTGTTCATGGAACTTGTGGTAACCCGGGCGATGATAATCGAGGGTAAAAACGGAGGAACGTTTGCATGCTTATTTAATCGTGTTCAGTTTTTTGTTTTCGTGATTTAGGTAATTTAGAGTTTCGGTTTTCTTGACCAACTGCGAGGCGAGACAAGGGTTACAATATCTGGCCCCTAAAAGCAAACAAATAGATCTAATTTGTAGTTTCACACAATTAATGCTCTACCGATGTTTTGAACGCTTAATTTTCCTATTTATCGTTAATGTTACACCTGCCTAGTTAGTTCTGGGAATTTAAATCTTGTGTTGCAAAAGCGAGGAGCGAATGGAGAAAGCAGAAGATAAGCAGAAAAATAGCGATATTGTAGTAAACTCTCGTTATATTGCCGCCGACGAAAATGTACGAGCATTTGAAATAAGCAATGCAGAAAACTACGTGTTCGGGGAATTTGCTCGATAGAAGAATCTTGAGTTAAAATTGTCTGCTCGAAACGAAATTTGCCGGTCTATTCGAACGAAGCAACACGTTTTTCAACTGCACGGGTTGGAAGAAAAAGGAATTGTATTTTTAAAGAGAATTCAAATATATTTTAAAGAGAATACAAGTCTACAAAAAATCAGTTGAGGTTTACTAACGCGTTACTGTTTACGCACTGACTCTCGATCGCGATTACCCCCCCTTTTATAATAGATTTCCAATAATTCTCCAGAACTTCTAGTCTGCTCGAAATTTCGCGATGTCTCGCAGCCGCCCTCCCGCACCGCACCACTCTCCCCGAAACCAACGAGGCGGGAAGTACACAAACGGAAGGGAAGCGCGTCGGGACATTGTTCGTCAAATTTGAAAACAAAAACGATTATAGGAACGTTCTACGAAGTTCTGGAGCGATCTTTGACCGTTTATTGAACACTACGTGTTAAGAAGTTTTCAATTTCTAAATACAGAGATTCGAAAATCGAGAAATTAGTAAATTTTAATATTTGGCTATTAGGAATAGAAATATAAAAGTTTATAAACTTGCAACTTCGTAAATCTAAAAATCTGAAGACTTGCAACTTTGAACATTTGTGAAATTGCAACTCTGTAAATTTAAAAACTTAAAACTTTGTAACGTTTATAACTTTCAACTTTGTTAGTTTTTAAACTTCCAACATTGTAATCTGAAAATCTGTAAGCGTGCAAACTCGTAAATTCGAAAATTTCTGAAGTTGCAACTTTAAAGAGTTGAATTTGCGCAACCGGCAATATAAACGAAGTAATATAGCGGCAGTCTACTACAATTATAAATTATTGAAATTATAATATCGTATAGGATGTAAATAAGAATCGAAGTGATTAAATAAAATGAAAATTTCACAACTATTGCTTGTAATATTTTCACATCACATATTAATGGATGGAAACTACAATGAAGGTAAATATTGTAAGAGAAATAAATTATGAGGTGTTTAATAGTGTAAAATTGAATATGGACGATTTAATGATTTTACTGTTTAATTTTTATTTTGACATTTAGATAACTAATTAATCTTCTTTATAATGAATGTATTTATAATAAATGTATTTGCTATCAACTTTTTATTTTTTGGGATTATTTTTCGGGAAAGTGACCGTTATCTTTTTAAACGGAATGTTATATATTTTTTAATATAATATAAAATAGTGCCAAAATTCATTCATGTATCTGTCCACAACTTTTAAGATCAGACAGGAAAAAAATGAAAAAAAAAAACAGATGGAACATCCTCAAACATTGTACTTACTATTATGTTACATCTACAAATTGATGAGACTACAAATCATAATTTAGAACAATTTAAAAGGAAATTAAGATAAAATTTGTAGATATGATTTAGAACAAATGTTTCGTGTGGAAGTATTGATAACAAAGTACTTGGTCCGTACTTTTATATTGGAATTTCAAATGGCAATAAATACAGTAGAGTGTAAGACGAGTTCTTACAACAAATTCTTCTAATGCACCAAAAATATTGCGATTACTGTCTTCATATCACGCGATTGCTTGAACTTAAGAATTAAATCTGCTTTAGTCGCGTATTATGTTGTATTCTTCATCGTATAAATTTCAATTTCAATGAAATAAAGGATGTTTGACATACATTAGTTACATGTTTCTTTTCTAATCAACTGTACATGTATGTTATTTATTTCTAGAATGCTGCCCTATTTGATAAAACGTAGAAAGTGAAAATATGGCCATAGTAATAATCATTTAAAACGTGTTTAGATTATACATGTTATGTAAGAAAAATTCCTGTATAGCATAAATTCATATTAGCACGCAAAACAATACCCACGTTATACAAAAGTCTACTGTACTTACAATTTTTAAATAATAACTTTAAAAATAATTGATAGTTACTAAAATTGATTCACATAAAATATGCATTATTAAATCAGCAAGACTCCCCTTCGTTGTAGACCAGTAGTAAGTTTTTTAAGTAATAAATGGATCGAAATAAGCACACTTATAAAATAGCCTATAAATTCTACGATGTCACCATGGATCTTTTTCTTACTGGATCACATTAAAAATATTGTTAACACTACCCAGTACATGCATTTAAACCACTTAAAGAATAAAATTTGAAGTTTAAAATTTTTAATTGAAATTTAAAAAGAAACAAGTGCATCCATATCTGGTATTGTAATTTAAATAATAAATTTCAAGATTATTGGTACTCAGTACTACTGTTTCTCATATAAAATATATGTTATCAATACGTCAAGACTTATAACTGTAATTCAATAACAAGTTTTTTGAAATATATATATATATAATAATATATGGATAAGAATGTATCATATAAAACAGTCTAAAGGGGGCACCTGACCGCAATATTGCGTTTATTAACCCCTATGATTTATCAGGTAGGAGCGTCAGACATAACTGACTGTTCACTGCTACAATATTAAAACAAATACAAAAAAGTTAAAATGTTATTTCTATTTTACATTTCAAGGTTTTCAACCATGCAAATTATAATTAAACTAAAAGTGAAAATTAAAATCTGCTAAAAATATAAACAAAGGTTTATCATATTCGAAGTTCAAATGCGGTAATTGTGTAGCTCGTTATTACAGTGCAAATGGTTAATATGTTGTCACTACAGATTGATAGGACTACGTATAATGTTCTACGTGACTTCTATTAGTAAACATGAATTTGTTAGGCCTATTAGAACTCGTGTAATCAAGGATTAGTTGTATTTATTGCCATTTAAAATCCCAGTATCTGAGCACGAACCAAACACTGTGTTAGCAATAATCGTACATTAAACATTTCATTTATAGTTATGAATTATATTTGAAAATTTGTTTCTCTTTAATTTGGATTATTATGTAAATTGCATATCATTATTCCCAAAAGTTATATCGACGTGGATTTATAAACTCATCGGACTATCGAATTTTTCTATAAAAATTTCTATCGTTCGGTTAATTATTAATGAATTATATAATTGAATATACCGAAAAAAATCATGTTCTCGTAGATTTTGTACACTTGTAATATTTGAAAGACTTGTAGTCGTGCAAGTGCAGAATTTTTCAAATTGACACAAATGATAATCATATAATTTGGTCTCTGTTCTTATTAGAAGAAATGGTCGTGAAAATGCAAAACAACTTTTAATTGTTCGTCTTTAAAAGAATATTTCTATTACTGTAATGATTCCATTACATAAATACAGCTGCATTGAAATATTTTTAAAATAAAAAAAATTTAGTTTCACTTATAGGTTTGGTTTCTGTATTTCTTTAGATTTAGGTTATCTATGATCTGCCATAAAGATTACAAACATGTACATGTTTTGTCTCGTGCTTTTATACAACATTAAAAATATATACAATTTCATTCAAAAAACAGGTCACCTTTCTCGAAATATAATGAAAATATAAAGCATTGATAAATCTCATCGCGTTGCTAGTAAAATATACTACAACTTCTCCTCCACCATTTCCTTTAAATAATTGCTGTACACAGGAAAAAAAATGATCCACGTTATCACTTTGTACATAATTTTGTTGCTACGTAAGAATATTATGTTTTTTCACTTAAGAATTGAAAAGTTATTTTATTTTATGTTTAGTTTATTTCAGAATTGAAACTTATTTTCACTAGCTATCTATTTCATCCCATTTCCCCTATGTCTAACTTCGTTACAACAGCATAAGAGATTATTATAGTAAAGTGTTGCTTTTTATATACAAAATAAGACTAATACTTATTTTTATTGAAAATATCCATCCTTTCCCATATATTTTGTTGTTGCATTTAAAATCACTACAATGAAATACGATTATTTAAAAAAAGAGTTGCACTTATTTTCGCTAAGGGTGTCCAGCTTACGTTATTCTCGTCTACGTAGTCATAAACGCAATAAAACAAAATAGTTTGAATTCAAATTCTTTTTTCAAACACGGCACTCGGTAAGTTTACCTACCTCCATCCTCATCGAGGCACACAAACAGGAGAACATTTTTAATCGATTGTTCGATTTCCGTTCGATAATATCAAATTGACCCTTAAACGGATACTCGACGCAAATGCTACGATACAAATTAGCACTGGTGAATATCCAGCAACAGGAGAAATATTTATAAAAAAAATCACGAAAGTGTCGTTTCTCTTGAGTCGATCTTCGAATTCAATGGCGATTCGTCTTTCAAAACAGGGAAAATCGTGAAAAGCCTGTGCTTTTCAGTCTCGTGATAATTCGATTTTGTTCCTCGAAATTTCGTTTTCGAATGTCGTATTTTTCTCTCGGAAAAAAATAAAAAGAAAAAGTAGTCA